TTTTAGCTAGTGTTTTGCAGTTCTTGGCTGGTGTTGCTGCTTTTAGCTAGCATTTTGCTGTTTTTGTCTTTTAGCTTGCATTGTCTTTTTGATTTTAACTAGCTAGCATTTTTCAACTTTTAGCTAGTGTTTTGCAGTTTTTAGATAGCATTATGGAAAATTTTAGTTAGCATTTTACAGCTTTTGAGTTGTACCTAGCATTGCATTACTTAGGTTTTGTTTTTTGTTTATGTAGCTTTTAGCTAGCCTTTTGCTACTTTAGATTTTAGCTAGTGTTTTGCAACTTTTTGCTAGCATTTTTCTTCTTGTAGTTTTTCTCTGTAGGGATCATTTTGCAGCTTTTAGCTAGTGTTTTTCTGCTTTTAGATAGCATTTTGGTAGCATTTAGCTAGCATTTTTGTGGGTTCTGGCTAATGTTCCTCTTTTACCTTTAACATCTCAGTTGCATGTTTTTCAGCAAACGTCAAAAAAGTCCTTCGACACTCAGCGTTTTTAAAAATATGACTGACGACATCTTTTCAAATGTTTTCTCATTTTTAGGAGCCGAGGTCGGCATCAGCACAGCTAGGATTCACGCTCGAGGTCCAGTTGGTTTGGAGGGACTTCTCACGACCAAATGGGTCCTTCGAGGGGAGGGGCACACTGTGGCAGACTTCTCTGAGCAAGGCAGCATGAAGTATCTCCATGAAAACATCCCCGTCCCACAGGGAACTTTTAACTAAGGGCTGGAGTCAACAAACCGTGTCTGCCAAGAGTTGATTAGTTCGTGTGTACCTGTAGCAGTTTCAGCTGGATCACCTGTGAAACGTAATGGCTGAACGGAGGCTGCTTCTACCGGACGAACACGCTCCGAGTTCTGTAAACCTGAGCATGGACACACAAATCCCCCTGAAAACTGAGTGGGCGTTAAATAACGGATGAGCAGGAGCTCTGTTGTGCTAAAACCTAAAATATGAAACGTATTCGGTTCATTTTTATATCTGTAAGAAAAAAAAAAATCATTGGCTCAAATGTGATTTTCTAATTTATATTTCTACCTAAACCCTCCCTTTTGTTTTATTTAATTTCTGAAAGAGTTCGTGCTTGATCTTGGTTTAAGATTTGTTTTGCAGTCTGTTTCTCTTTGCACATACAGTTTAATAAATATGTACAGTTCCTTTATCCTAAATCTGTGGTTTATACCGAACATTTAAAACTCCTGCACCGTATTTTTTTCCTTATGGTCTGAAGATGGCCTAGAAGGTTTATTGAAAGGAACTATTTTTTCTGGTTTAATGTTTCCATTCAATCTGTTCAGCGTTCTCTGCTTTTAATTTCCGAGGTGCAGCTTGTTTGCTAATCGGGGGTTTGGGTAGCTCGGTGGTCTGTGCTGTAATCCTGAGGCTGCAGGTTCTAGTCCAGGTTGCTCCTTTCGTGTGAAGTTCGCTCGCTGTGGCAACCCCTGAAGAAGAACGCAGCCGAAAGTTAGAAAAGAAACTGTTTGCTAAAAGAACATCGAATGAGCGCGTTCCTTTTCACCTTCTGGGTGATGAAGAACAAGAACGGGAGGAACCTCCTTTTTAAATGGACGTCAAAGCGTTCGCCTGTGGGAGTGTCACCTTAAATCAGGTGATAATCAAGTTTACGGTGTTGTTGGCTAATTATTAATCACTTTCTTGGAAGCGAAATTACTTTATTTTGTTTACGTCAGTCATGTTTAGCAGGTTTAGATGCTGGATCTGAGTCCAGCTGATGGACCGCTGGAGAGACTGATTCAAACTGAGCCCACCTGGCCAGCATGCAAATGGTGCATTTTCATTTCAGCATTTTTACTAATATACAAATTAATTTTTTTTTTTTACAAATTAAAATAAAATGGACACCAAACGAACAGTCAAAGGGAAAAAGTAGTGGAAAAAACCCCAACTAGATTATAAGATTATTTTGTTTTATTGCACAATGTGATAATAATTGAAGAGCATTATGGGAAAATACAAAAGGAAAAGAAAGGTAAACCTAAAACATAATACAGTTTTAAAGAAAGAACAAAACTTATGCACACAAAGCCCATTTTGGTTTATTATTGAAAACGCTTTTATTTTAGCTGTTTTTCTGTCAAAAGACATCAGTGGTTCCAAAAGGGTTTGGATTCCACTGTAAGTAACAACACGCCAATCGGGTTGTTACAGAAATCAAATTAAATGTAAGAATGTTTGCAAAAAGCATATTTTATAATTAATATTATTTATAAAAAGACTAAGAATATATAATCAATCAACCTTTATTTAGACAGGTAAATCCCATTGAGCCTCGAGGACTCATTTACAAGAGACCTGATTTCAACAATGAATGATGACAACAGTGGACAACAATAAACAATTATAAAAAGTTATACTGCAGTTTTTTTTTTGTTTGTTTTTTGTTTTACAAATAGGATGGCTAAAAGGAAAAGGTAACCAAAAAAAACTAGATTCTAAGGCGAATGTAGAAAACTTTATAGATATAATAAATATAATGTATAAGAATATAAAAATCAATAAAATATGTAGTGGTTGGTCAGGGTATTTGTGTTCAGGAGTGCTTTTCAACTGGTGGCTGCGCTCAGAAGCTTCTGCTCATTTTGTGAGCTGAAGTTCAAATGTCCCACTGCACTTCAACGCACCACTGTGACGTATGGGTGGGCGTGGCTTCCACTTCCAGCACTGACCGGGTCAACTCGGCTGTCGTTTCATCTGTCGGTGCAGATGATGGCGGGGGACGTTTCTTACAGTATTGTGGAGTATTTCGGCGGAGATGATGGTTACCGCTGCGGTTACTGTAAAAACGAAAAGGGCAACTTCTCTCATGGTAAGTTCAGTCTAAAGGAAACCCGCTGAGCTCTGCGTTTGACATGGCTAACGAGATAATAATAGCTATATTTGCTTTATGAGCCGGGTGTAGTGGAAAAATATTATTTGTAATTGCAGTTTTATTGTGTGTTCAGTGCCACTTGCAGCACATGTGTAAGTTTTATTTAATGTTTGAAACTAGCCAACAAAGTGCCGACAGCGTTAGCCGAGTGTTAGCATTGTTTTTATCCATTAGCCTAAATTAGCATGTAGCCTATAAGTGAATCATCAGGGGGGAGGAAAAGTACTGTCGTGCTGTAAATGTGCTTAATATGCTCCTGCAAGATTGAGGTTTATAATCACGTTATTGTTGTATTCGGTTAGGCAACAATAGTTTCCTTCTGGAGTCATTAGGACACCACAAAAAGTTAGCATTCGTGCTAGTCGGTGAATGCTACTGAAGCGGAGGCGAAAGAGAAACAAACAGGGACATCTAAACAAGCTGGAACTACTTG